TAAACTTTAGAAACCGAAACCAGGCATTGCCTAAGCACGTTCTCTGTTAAAAAATATGGTAAAGTCTATGACGAACATAGTTGCGTTGACAGGGTCACATTAGGTTAGCGCATTTTCCAAACGGAGACTCTGATGCCCGTTCTTATAGCATTTTGCCCTCAGAATAGTCTTTAGTTCTTGCTTGATTGTTCCGGAAAATCTTAAATCCAGAACTCATTTCCTATCTACGCTTCTAGAGTTTACATAAACTCAGCCTGAAAGTCACGTTAAAATTTCCGGGGTTTACAGAATCTAAAGTTTAGCATAGAGCGTATGATTCGCTTCTTCTTCGCAGTTAGTGGAATCTTGTGTCTTAATCATTGTTGCTGATTCGAATTCTCTCCTTTTATAGAACCTTAAACCGAAAAGTAGTATCTGGCCTGCACAGAAAATCATATGGTAAGACTAGGGCCTCTTCATTATAGGTTTTTAAGCTTAATATGCCCTATGCTTAGAATGCTATCTCAGCTTTTTACAGGGTTTCTATGTGCTGATGATGTGGTCTCCGATTCTTCTACTTCTAGTTTTTACGAACAGTATGAAGAACTTAATGCACTCATCTTCACGAACAGTAATAATGTAGAAACTACTGTTTCAAGTTAACTATTTTGTTGTTGTTTTTTTTTTTTATAATTTGTATATACGTAGGCAGATACGTGCGCGTGTGTGTATGAACTCTTGATCATTCATCGATAAAGTAACCATACAAAGGCTGAAGGTGGTCGATGATGGCGGTGTTGGTGGTGGTAGTGGCGGTAGCAGAAGCAGAAGACCCCTCGTACATATAAAAAAATCTCACTAGCATTGAATTAAAACCGGTTTATTAACTAACATCCAGCAGACGGTGCATTACAAATTAAGAAAGTGCACCATCACTAACAGACGCTGAATAAATTCTCTTTTTTCTTCCTCCTCTGTCGCTGGCTGGTATACTTTGATCGATATTTCTATGCAAGATTAACCAGTTTGTTTGCGAAATAGCGTTAAATTGTTGTTACATTAATGGGTTAGTGTAATATTAGCGGACGTTGTCTTAATAACTCTCGTTTTCAATGGACTGCCAGTCTCGCTAGTGTTTTTGTTGTTTCCGTTACACATGTGCAGGTATTTTTCCCATTAATCAGACCGATGTGAGTCATAGTTTGATTATAATTGTAATGAATGAATTCTGTTTACTCAGTTTATTACGTGATTTTTTCCCCTTTTTAAGCGAAACTACACTACTATTCCTATGTACTTTCTGTTAACAAGCAAAAGAAGAAAATATAATTTTCCTATTTTTTTTCTGAACGTAGATAACTCACCTCCTGTGGGGTTAAACGCCCTATAACATAAAGGCTGACATATGCACATATATATTCCTATGTATATATAAACACATGCAAACTTATCTTTGTACGCAATTATCGGTGACTTTACTTTTCACTCCTATTCTCACAAAACGCACATTTTTATATATGTAAACAAACCTTACCGTACCGTGTACTATAAGCAAATTATATATAAACAACCACCATCTCACATATGCATATATTACCACGATCCCACGCCGCTAAAAGAAAACAAAATAAATAAATAAAAAGGTTATAAGCAGCCCAACGCAAATTATAAAAGCTTCCTCAGGAATATCAAAATGAAAAAAAAGCGCTTTATGAAAACAAATCCCGTACGTTCGTATGTCTATACACCCCTGCACACATATGTGTATACATACTTAATAACATGACCTGCTTTAAAATCGAAATCCCTTTTAATTTTTCATTTTTGGTTGAGTTGACCGCTACCTAAATAACAACAACACAACTTCTAGTTTCGTATAGTTTGCAAAGTGATTGTTGGTTTTGTTTTTCTTTTTTTTTTTTTTTTTTTTTTTTTGTAGGTGTATGGGTTCACAAAAATAGTATACACACACACACACGTACACACACACACACACACACAGATTACTTATAGATATGAAGAGCTCTAATCAACCGTGCGTCCTCTGTACTTTCCAAACCACCCCACGCTTAAAAACAAAACTTATTCATTCATTTATATGTATAGACATGTAGGTAACGTTCTTACGTAGCGCTCTCTTCTAATCTCCTCATAACGATCTCTTCAAATGAACTAGAGTTACCAAATGCTAATTGCAGTTAATTAATATGGGTATTAATATGCTCATGTATACTGGAAGGGAAATAAAAATGTTGACCAAAATAGTTTAAAACGCTCTGAATGAGTAATAAAAGCGAACTTTTATCGAATAATTAAACTAGTTGAGGGAAATTTATTGCAATATTTCCGTTTTTAAATAAATGACGTAATGCCTTATAAGCCTTATGGCTTTCATAAGACATAATGTAATACGGTGTAGAAATAAAAGGTAAGCGCTTTATTGTTCCCCCACAAATATTCGCTGAGATGTAAGTTTTGGAAAACTTTTTAGAGAGGGCATGTAGAGAGGGAATGTAGCACATGGAGTTAATTCCAAAGTTCACTTCACTTGAGTCTAACTAACATGAATGGGGAAGTAGATGAGTTTGCGTTTTCTGTAAGATCAGCTCTCCTGAAAGGTAATATATATAAATTCTGTAACTCTGTATCTTTCCATAAAAATCGATCTGAAAACTATTGTTGTTATTATTCATTTACACCAAAGAAATAAATTGTAGAACTAAAGTAGGATGAGCCCCAGCAGTTAAGACTGAACGAAAATATATTGAATCTTTGTCATTTATTTCAACCTTACCTTTCCTTCAAACATAAAAAATTGACTTACCAGGGATTAAAAATGAAAATTGTTGCGTTTTTATATTCAGTGATGATTACGCAAGTTTCGTCATTAAAGCAATGGATATACTTGTTGAATATCACGGTCAAAATCCAAGGTAGGTGACGGTGAGAAGAAAAGATAATTACTCTCAATCTATGAAAAGTTGTAAAAGTTGAAACATGTAAAATGCATAATTAAAAAAAAAAAGGAATCACGTCTCCCTGCTATACGTCTTTTCTGGCAGAAAATGCTCTTTGAAGGAGAATTTATCCTGGACTTATTACTTAAAAGCATATACACCTAATTCTCTTTTACCACGAAACTTGATTTAAGGCAAGTTTAAAAGAAAAAAATTTTCTTTTTACACGAACTGTTTTGTTTTAACGCGCTTTTCATTGAAATGACGTTCTATGAAGTTTTTCCGTGAATTTTTTAACGAAATTTTCTGATAAATCTTTTGTGAATGTCTGCATGAATTTTTTCGTTCTCATGCCTCGCGAACATGCATTGTTGTATTTTACACAATTTATATAGACTATGTCAATTATGCGCGTATATAAGGGCGTATCCCAGAATTATGGAGCCCGCATGGAGTCAAGGCGTAATGTGTGATATAATTTACTTTTAAATTATGTATTTAATAAATCAAAATGTGTAAGCAGGTAATAAATTCTTAAGTGAAGAGACTCTTTTTCGTTGTACATTTCATTTGCTTTTTTATATCTGGAACCACTTTCACGTTTGTTGCAGATCTTAAAAACTCAAAATTATAAAGCCAACCTTACGAAGATTACGATACCATAACGCGATTTAAAGTGGGTGTAGATAAAGGTTTGCATTGATTTAAAGATGTGACTAGTATGGCGACATTTTTTAAAAGAGCAACCAGTTTAATAAGTCTTTTAGTTTACTAACTTAACAGATAAGTTAATCATGCAGACCTAGAAACAAAATGCTTGGAGTTCAATTTTTGTCTATAAATTTCAGAATACGGTTTTCTTGCAAGGAATGATGGCCTCGTTAAAAAAGGAAATGCAGGACAACAAAGGAGGAGAGTTCTCCATAGAAAACTTTGCTCTTTTTTTGTAATATATTTTTGAACAATCGATCATTCCATACAGGGCAAACAGGAGAGTAATAAAAACTGAGATTCACCTGCTTCAAGTAATTCAAAATATTTATCTAAACTTACACATGACCTCTAATGTTAAAGTTCTGAATAAGGTATTTCATGTTTTCCTATATTTTTCATAGCATAACTATTGAATTCACGGAAATTTTTGTTTTATTTTCGGTATTAAGCCAATTATGGGTAATGGCAACATTTAAACAAGTGAACGCAGTTAACACTTGTTCGTCTAATAAATACATATTCTCTTTATTTGTTTTTTCTCTCTCTCTCTCTCTCTCTCTCTTTATTTTTGTGCCTTTTTTAACTCCTTTATAAAATGTATTCAAATTTTCGTATCAATGTCGTACGCATATAGCAGTGGGTTTGTTTAGTGTGCCATGTTTTTCTCTGTGTCATGCATTAGGTTAACTTGCTATTTTTTTATATTTTTGTTTGTGTTTTGCTCGCTTACTGTGATAAAACCGAGTTATTGATCATCATCGTCATTATCATCATCACCATCATCATCATCATTGTCATGACGTTTTTGTTGTATTATTATTTTGTTTCGCTTTGCGTTGTGTGTTGATATTTCGTCATTGTAAGGTGGCTGTTATTGTTTGCGTGTGTGTTTGCTTGCTTGCTTGCTTGAATTGTTGTATGCCTGCTGCCAACGGGCTGATATATGTACCGGACTTGCTTTGTGCGTGATGCTAATATACGCAGAGTATGGTGTATGGGTTCTTAATGTGCTATTGTTGTTGTTGTTGTTGTTGCTTTTATTGTCTCTACTGCTGACACTTTACATATGCAGCGACAGCGACGCCGCCCGACCAAAACAACCAACCAACCAACCATCCAGTAACCACCACCACGATCACCACCACCAACAACATTTCTCGTGTATCAGTAAATGCTTAATGATCAGTCTGTTCAGTCTGTAGGAATTTTTCAATGTGAACAGAGTGTCTTTGATTATATGTTAAAGTGCGGGTGTTTTTTCTTCTATTTTTGCAAAAGTTTCAAAAGTGACTATAACTGTAATTAAAATTAAATTTAAAAAAGAAGGCAAATAATATTAAAAAATTATTATAAAAGTTTTGAAGAGAAAGTTTTTAAAAAAAAATTACATAAATTAAAAGTTGGAAAATTTTTTGGAATTTTCAAATGTGTTTGTAGGCACTTGCTCCTGCTTCTTAGAAGGTATGTAAATATATACAGGATTTTTAAATATGTAACTGTTAATGAATGTTATACATATATATATATATATATATATATATATATATATAGAATTTACTTACGGTTGTGCTGTGTTGTTCATCTATATGTTAATATAATTCAGACTAAATGAGAGATTGAAAAAATTGAAGAAAAATAAATAAATAAATAGTAATAATAATAATAATCATTACAACGGAAAGTGTGCCAAATACCGCCAAGATATTTGCAAAAATTTGAAATTTTTCTTTTCCATGAACCGCATGGTGGACAATAGAAAAATTTGACAATATCTCGATTTATTGTTCATCATGAGCTGTTCCTATTTTTGTCGCATAGAACTGGACGCCCGGATCTCTTTAATTGCCTCTTTTGTCCATCCAGCACAATTCGATAAACTAATGAAACCTATGAAAAAAAAAAAAAATCATTTTTTGTTATGATTTTTTTAACAAACGAAAGCTTACTACTTCGCTCTTTGCTCAATGTTCGGCTTCTTTTTTTTAAGTTTTGTGTTCACATAATAATTTCTCCGAAAGTTTCGTCATCGAAAGATTTCGTTTCGTCTGTCAAGCCATATAGTGGACGTTGCCATTTACATAACATTGCTTCTAACGTGTTTTCCCAGAATGAGAAGAACTGACCTGCTCAACGTATATGTAATAAAATGAAATTTTTACTGTAAGCAAAAATTGATCAGAAAGCGATCACATTCACCACAACACCATTGTTCAAGTGAAGTTGTTTACCGAAGGCGATTATTGTACATAAGATATTGTACATAAGAAAATGGCACCTCCCGGCTTTATGTGACTTTTCCGAAAGATTGTAGAAATCATAAGAACTGTTTAACTTGTTAAAGACAAACTTGACATTTTTCTGCGTGATCGACAAAATACTTAAGCAATTCACAAAATTGAAACAACAATCGCACTAATCGATGTCTACTGAAAATTTATTTCAATCATTTGCAAAAGCTACATAAAAAATCTACTTAAAAATGCTATTAGTGGAGGCTGCACTTCGCTCAAAGAGCAGGAAAACGAAAGGCTTTAGGATAAGCATTGCTTCAGTTGACGAATATTGCGTCATTCATCTTTTTACTTATATCAAATTAAGTTTTACTTCCTTCAATTTTCAGGAAACGAAGGGATGTTTCTTTGATCAATTCAAAACCTCTCTAGGTTTCATATAAACATTTCAGATCTGTGCAACAAAGTTCTTCATCATTTCTGTCTTCCATAGTACCGCAAATGAGAATAAGTTCTATTTTTTAAGGGGAAGATGTTGTATAAGTTATGGTGAACTTTAAGCAGGTCCCCAATTATGTTCCGTGAAAGCATATATGAGGTTGAAAATCTTATTCTAACTGCACAGTATCCAGGCAAGTTCCTGGCTTCAAATATGGCTCGTATAGCAGCGAGCCCATTGGGCCCACATTTATCACGTGCACAGATTCAAAAATCCATAAAAGTTTGCAGGTCATATGTTTAATAAAGCTGTAGGTGAGTGACCGATAAAGGCCTTCCGTTATTCTACGTTTAACAAACAACGCTTAAATTTAATCTTCACTTTTATCTTTCAATGTTGAGCGAGCCTCTCCTAGTCATTCTTGCCGAAAATCAGATACCATCATGCGACAAATCGTTTTAATAACAGGGACTTTAAAGGCTAAAGACTTAATTCATGTACGGATAGCTTCGCTTAATTTCATTGTAGTGTGGACTTAAAGACGGAAATTTTGATGGCTTAATATTTTTTAGTCTACCTGATTATTAACTTTTGTTTTAATCGTCTTAATTCCACGTCTTTTATTGCGATTATATCAAGTTTGTAAATTTCCCTACTTATGTTAGAGTTTAATGTCTTAAAAATTACAAAAATCCTTAACACAATTACAATTACATATTGTACATATCGTGTTTTAAATGTTAAAGGTCGTTGCGACTTCTTTCCTGCGGCTTTCACAGTACTCTGGGCGTTTTGGCGGCAATTACTTTGTATGACTGTCTGGCTGCTTTGAGTTGGTCCTAAACTACTACTAATGTGTTATTTCGTCTACAATTCTCGAGATTCAGTTAAATGTCTGCTGCCATCGAGTCGGCTAGTCAGACAGCCAGCCAAGCCAAGCAAAGCCAATAAGCCAACCATCCACCCATATGCCTGTCTCTGATAATTGTTTGCCCAACCATTTCGTATATGTTCTTTTCTTTTTTTTTTATTATTCTTGTTATTATTTTCAACTCACCCAACATATGGATTTATGTACATATGTATAATCTTCACCCATACACTAATTGCCTGCTGTGTAGTACTTTATGATGCGTGTGTGTTCAACTGTATACGCTTTATATGCCTACAACTCATGCTTAACCGTCTACTGCACCACGGAAAGACAAAAAAAAAAAAAA